CATACATACATACATACATACATACATACATACATACATACATACATTCATACATTAATTACATACGTACATACGTACATACCTACATACCTACATACATACCTACATACCTACCTACCTACCTACATACATACATACATACCTCCCTACCCTACACCACCCTACCCTACCCTACCCTACCCTACCCCACCATACCATACCATACCATTACATTACATCACATTTCATTGCACTACATTATGTACATTACGTTGCGTTACGTTTCGTTACGTTACATTACACTACATTACATTACATTACCTTACATTACATTACATACATAGACACGTTACATTACATAAAATTACATTGCATTGTCGTCAACCACGTCGTTTTGACTGAAAGAACATCCTTCCCCTTATCGGCCAAGCACCGCCCAGCCTATCACGCCCATCGTGCTGACTGCAGGCCCCATGGAACTCAGAAGGCTTGGGAACCAAAGACATCCAGGTCATGTCGACACTGTTCCCTAGGATTCAGACAGCTCCCCCACGGCACCGTTCCCTCGGCTCACTTGTGTTTCGTCCAGCTCTCCTTAAAAAGAAGAAAATTGAACATACGAGCCCACGCCACACAATCCACTTGCTGTGGTCAATCATCACAGCTCCTCCAAACTGCCAGTTGGGCACCAAGGTGTCAAGGGCTTGCACCTCAACAAATTCTCCACAAGGCAACATTAAGTCATGAAACATGTTACAAACAGTTCATTGGAAATCGTAAGCTTGGACAAAGAAGTCAGCCAAAAGCTCCCAAGCAAAGCGAAGTCCGAACATGTGTTCCTGATTGAGGATGTGCCCACCCCCCTCGTGGTGCAAAAGTGCATTGTGGAAATATTGCTTTAAATTTAATCTATATTGTATTGTAGGCATTGGTCACATCGGCCAGCACGTTACAACAACACTGAGCCGGTAAGTGGCACAGGCACGGATGTTGTATTTTCATGGGCAGCAGGACTCTCCTCCATGGAGAGGCTCATGATGTTTAGAGCTCGGCAAAAGAGAAAGTGATACTAGTTTCACTGTGAAGTGGAGTGTGCTAGTCACTAGTCAGCAAGTCAAACTTAAAGCGCCACAAATCGTCCAAACGATGTTAACCATCGAACCTCTGATGCGTCGAGTACATCTTCAAAAATCAAAATGTAAGTAATGCCCCTAAAGCTGGTATGCAATTTATGCATCTTTTGTGCAGGGCTTCATGCATCAAAAGGATGAGAATCGGAAGCTGCCAAAGAATGCAAACGTATCCCAAACCTACGGTGCCAACATAAATCTTAAGGCAAAAAGGCCTGCAACCAAACCAAGCATGCACTATCTATATAAATCTATCTCAACCCCCTCACAGCGGCAGCTTCCAAGAAAGTCTTGCACTTGCTCATCGCATTCGAAACCACTCTTTCCAACTACAAGCTCCGCACATTTCTCTATAAGGCCCTCGCAGGACACATCAGCGACTTGAAGGGGCGACATTGACATTATTGAAAGAAACAACAAAATGGAGGAGTTTTGGGAGCTGGTTACAAGAGTCATGATGAAAAACAACACATGAAGGTTGAGAGAGTGACCCAAAAATGCACTCAGCACACTCGGCAGCGACTGCACGTGCAAAGGATCAAGGGACAGAGACAAACGGGGAGGTGTAAACGGAGCGACTTCGATTTGTGCCAACGGATGTGCGCCATACAACACTTGCAAAAAAATGCAGACATGCTTCAGGCTCACATAGTTTACAGAGCCGGTGTCATGGCTCTTAAGAGGTGAAATCTAAAGCTACCCATAGCATCCCATCGCTACCCTTCAAATGCAAAAGGCAGCTCAAGCAAGCTCAAGCCAAGTTGCATAGGAAACCTGGGCCAGTTCTGGCTGGCATCCTGCAAGTTGACTCCATGCATCCCATTTTGCTGCAGCCTCAGCAAGCAAAGAAAACTTTAAAGCCTTTGCCTCCATTCGAAGCCCGAAGCCTGGAAGCCCATAGGCCGACTAGTGGGACAATCTCCTCAAGATCCGATCACCACATCCAAAAAGAAACGCGTTGCCGGCTGTAGTGCCAGTTGAGGCTGCTGCCACAGGTGGCTTGCTTGTAGAAGGCATACAGCTCAAGTGCAGCTGAAGTGGGCAAATTGGCGCCATTCTGGCCAACCTGAAGCAATAAATAATGAGATGCCATCAACAACCAGCACGAGGGCGGAGCCCAAGCACATGCTTCCTCAAACCTCGGAGAAGTCCACCAAGCTACCAAAGCTTGGAACATGTGATGAGTGGGACTGAAGTAGCACAAGGACACTGTTTTACTCTTTTTTGTCTGTCATGGCTCTGTCATGCTGCGTTCGGCCAGAGAAACTGTATTCTGAAGGAGCATGGCTACCGTCATGGGACCAACGCCACCGGGCACTGGAGTAATCAGTGAGGCTCTTTCTTTGGCGCTATCAAAGTGCACATCCCCAACCAGCCGGTAGCCCCTTTTGCGGGTGCTATCACTCACTCGGTTGATGCCAACATCTATCACCACCGCTCCGAGTTTGATCCATTCACCCTTCACAAGTTCGGGCTGGCCAACAGCTGCAACAAGCACATCAGCTTCAGAGCATGCTCTTGCCAAGTCTGCCGTGAAACGATGGCATACTCTGACACTGGCATTTGCCCGCACCATCAGGAGAGCCATGGGCATGCCAACAATGGCAGACCGTCCTAAAATGACACACTCCTTGCCTGCCACATCCACATGATACCGGCGGAGCAATTCCATACACCCAGCAGGAGTGCAGGGCGTTGCAAAAGTTTGTCCAAATGGGCGAGACAGCTGGCCCAAATTGAAAGCACTCAACCCGTCAGCATCCTTTCGCATGTCAATGGCATCCAAAACACGCTGCTCATTGATTCGCTCGGGCAAGGGCAACTGCACCAGAATTCCGTGCACAGAAGGGTCAGAGTTGAGTTCAGCAATTTTGCCCAGCAGCTCACTCTCAGAAACCGAATCAGGGAAATTGATGTTGAGAATGCAACAACCAACTTCAGTGGCAACCTTGGCCTTGCCCCTGACATATGATTGTGAATCCGGCCGCTCGCCCACCAGAACAACCGCAAGGCCCGGAACCGAACCATATTTCTCACGAAAGGTGATGACACGCTCCTGGACGTGCAAAATGAAAAGATTCGGCATCACACGTACTACAGTAAGAGTTTGAAACATTTAGCCTTCTAGCAGCTGGTATATTTTGGGCGCGGATGGTCCTTGATATCCTCCCGAACCTGTGCCGCTGTTTCCTTTCCATCCATGATGCCGGCGCTGCCCCGGGCAATCCTTCTTTGTAGACGGGGCAGCTGCAGGCAGCAAAGGCTCCAAATGCCACAAATGCCGCCTCCCTTCAAAGGCACAATCGAATCTCAAGACAAACAATAATATTCTGCAGTGTGCTCTGGGAATTGTCTTCGGGGATTGGTTGATGAACACACCCACTCCAACCAAAACCTTGTCAAACAGAAACATACCTTTCCGGCTTGTTCACCGGGCGCCATGCACAACCTAGGATGAATTCAAAGGAAACCCGTAGAAACAACACGTATCTGGTGCACTTCTTGGCTCAGTGGTGCCGAAACACGAGAATGCATGGATACATTGCGCATGTAGCAAGAGCCAGCTTAGACCCTCCCACAACAACAGAACACACAACAATTATTTTCCACAAGCGCATGTGATCAACGTTTTGGAAAAAATGACATGTGTCTTGTCGGAATTATATAACATGTTCTGTTAAGTCCTTTTGGCGGTCCTTTTGTGCCAGTATTGGTCAGATTGCGGGGATGTTGAGGCTTTTGTTGTTAAGATTTTTTTCCACCAAAGAAGACCAAACAGGATCGCTATTGGTTGCGCCTGCAGGCACAACTTTCATTGTTCTTGTGTATTGGCACCAACACACAGGAAAGTTTCTCACGCATTTCTTTCACAGGAAATGCTTCGGACAATTTCGCAGCAATTGGTGCCCTCCACAGCACCAAAGACTCGCATGTTTCACAAGGCCAAGCAATATCCGTGCTCCCTGGACAGAGCTAGCCTGGTGACAGCAACAGCACCTTTCGCCCCAAGCATTGCGACAACAGCAATCAGGACAGCACCTTCCCCAGGTGACACCAGCACCATCAACGCCACCCAAACAGCATGACAGCGGTGCCATGGACTAAGCAGTATGGCTTTGGCATCTGGAAAGCTAGCGACTACACCACTCTGGAATGTTAATTCACACTTCAATTTGGATCGTCAGATCTCTCCTTATGGGTTGCGCAGGACCTCAGTTACAGTATTTTGAAAGGCGGCCCGCCGTGGACAAATCAATGACATTCCGGCTGCGCCTTGTAGCGGAAGCAGTGCCGAGCACGTGCTGGACTCAACTGTGCAGGCCGCGTTTGCCAAACCACATGTTGCGGGCAAACCGTTCCGCATGCTGACTGAGCGGCTGGCCATGGCGCAACGTTCATTGTTAACTATCTATATAACTATCTTCTGCATTGCCCGGTGCAACGATAAATAGGGAAGAAAAAGCAGGCCAAGCTTGCCCTTCGCTTTTGAGTTTACCGTGGCTCCAGCCAACCCAGACGGCGCTTTGAACAAAAGCATCACCACCACCCTATTCGGGAAAGACTCGCGCCCCTGAGGCTGAAACAATCTTGCATCGGCCATAACAATCACCTGGCTAAAGCGAAAGCCAACACAACAATTCTGTTCGCACCATGCCTTTCTGAAAGCAATGTTTTTCAACTGTCAAAAGCCGCTGCCAGTGCACCTCATGGTTGTCTCTTTGAAAGACTTTTGAGGTCCTCACGTGAACACAGGTTGCATGACAATTTTCTAGCATGTTCAAAACATATTTGTCCTGCGACGTCTTTGCCACCAGTAATACAAGACCTGGCCATGTTTTTAGTACATGTTTTTCGGTGCTTTGTTTACATCCAACATACTAATGCGCCAGGGGTGCACCCACACCCACCAAAGACCCACTCAAAATGAACGCCTGAAGCGCGTTTGACGCCGCAATTGTGCTTCTGCCGAGTCAATGACACTGGCCTTGACGTTTGCACCTAGTGCCATGAAATAGAAATTGTAGATCTGGTGATTGTCCAGCGGGACTGCGTGTGTAATGTGTTGCTTTGCATTTGCTGAAAAAGAGCCCCCCCAACAATTGTATTGTGTCACTTAGTATGACGTTCTTCGGTGGGATTCGTTTTCGGCACAGCACATGGCATGGTTTCTATTGCCTAATTTTTGCAAAGAACTGATTGAACAAATATTGTTGCTGCCTCGGGCCACACACACACAATTTTTCCAATATTTGACGGGAACAAGGGACATGAAAGCTGCTCTTTACCCATCAGCGATTACGCACAAATCTAAAGCTGGAGGCCTGGAAAGATCTCAAGGCTTGAGACCTAGATCAATCTAGAAACCGAGGGGTTTAGAGACCTATAGAGCCACATATCGGAGCACACGTACGACAGCGCATATATGAAACACATTTGCGAGCATCAGCATCCGGGCTACTGACAGGTGAGCCCAAAGAGGAGTGCAAAGGCATATGTAGGAGAAGAAGATCAAGTGCCACGTGGACGTTTTGGTCACGCACATGGAAAGCAGTAGGCTGAAGGATCAATTGAAGAAAAACTAACCAAATTCGTTCACTTCGAGATGGCAAGGACGGAAGATGTTGAGGATGTTGTTTTTCCTCCGGCACGCTGCTGAAGTGGCACTCGCCGCACGTGCTATGTACACTATGTCTGCACCATGAATTTTTTTCCTCTCCGTCAGGAAGTGTCCTTGTCTTGATCCTCCAATCTCTCACAGGCTCGGTGGTCAGCCGGTCTAGAAAAAACCCTCAATCATCAAATCCTCAATCACTCCCATCCTTTTCAAGCTCTGTTCCTCAATCTTCTGATCTGCTGATCACCTTTGCCTTTTCCTTTCTGACCTTGGTCTTTGCACTTTCCCTTGCAGCCTTTGCCCAACCTGTCGATTTTGATGGGCCCCACACCATCTTTGTTGCCCTGTTCCACCATGATGGCACTGCTCCAGCGTAGAGTTGCACCGCTTCAGGGAACTGGTTCTAGCTCTGACTTTTCAGCTGGGCCATGTACGCATTTCATCTTCCATTTTTGAAAGCCAAGGCACGAAGAAGGTCTGATGGAACTAAGTGACAAGGAAGAGAAAAGACTTTACACCTTCCTGACCGAGTGCCCGTTTGGCACCTCCGATGTCGGAAAAGAAACACGCTAGGCTGATCCAGCAAACTGACGGTGAAATGAATAAAAGCGGACAGAATTAAGGTGAAACAAAATAACACATGGACGCCGAGAAAGGAAAGTGGGAGAGTCCTCAGGCATGTAAATTTCAATTATATAGCGGATAATAACGAAGGCCACTCACAAAGTGGCAAGAGCAAGGCTAAACAGTCGATGTCTGGCATCTTGCAAAAGTTGGCATTGTTGTTCCGGGGTATTGGTGTAAGCGCTTTCGTGATTTGTCTTCCAGCAAGGATCTAAAAAGGTCACCAACCAATTCTTTCTGGGTCGCCCCGGTCTTCTGAAGAGAGGCGTATATGGGACACTCACCTGTCTCATGGGGTCGCGATTGCCAAGAACAGGGAAGAAGAGTGTGGAGGAGCTTCAGTGGGGTGAGCAGAATTTAGCATACCTGGATCCAAATGCCCCACACGCTTCCAGAACTCTACTTTTAAAATGTCACCACAGCTCTCAGAAGCTGATCAACTCCTCCAGGAACCCTCTAGATCTGTTTGGGTTGCCGCCTATGGTTTCCAGAGAACGCCCCCTTGGCACCTTTGCGGGTTAGGAAGGGGGATCCTTGGCTCCGCTACCATGCGGATCTTTGAGCACTAAAGCTGTATCCGGTGCAAATTGTTTGAATCACTCTATGTTTTCATGCTAAAAATAACTGCTGCTTTCCTTGTTGTTCGGAAACCGGAAGTGCTGGAGGCAGAGATGGCTGACAACAATGATGATGATGATGATGATGAGGAGGAGGGGGGGGGGGGGGAGGAGGAGGAGGAGGAGGAGGACTATGGGGAGGATGCACGGCATGAGCGCTCTGTGGTGGAAGGCCTGCCAAAGCTGGATGTGCTCAACGCTACCGACCGGGAGGCCCAAGACTTTGAGCCCTTGCGTGCCGAAGTTGGCTGGAGATGCAAAGTCCCTGACGTTGGGTGGCGCGGTCGCCGCTGCGTTCCACATTTGCATCTTGCCAGCATGTGGGCGTATGCCTGTGTGTGTGCGTTGTAAAGCAGTGGGCCAGGGTGCATCTTTGATGATCACAACGAACGAGGGCGGGGCGAAGCACAAAGGAATGAGCTGCTGACGCATAGATATCGCCTTTGCAGTCATGCCATGTGGTTGTCCAAGACGATCCAGAACAGAGTAAAATGTCAGATAGCTGCTGCTCGTATCAAGGCAGGCAGGGCTGTGACTGTGACATGCATGTCGTCCAGCAAGGCTGCTCACGTGGCTGGCGCGGAGTCCTGGCAAGGCCCGGCTCAAGGCCAACGACAACAAGGCTGGCATGAGGGGATCCCCCTGTTCCCCCCCCGTTCTGCTTGGTGTATGCGGTGTGCACCGCTGACAAGCATTTATATAACCAAGTCCGTTGCCACCTGGCACATGCACGTCCCACCAACTATTGCCACAACCCTGCGCATGGGACGGTTAGTCGACTTTCAGAAACCCAGAAATCGTCAAGGTGGAGTAATGTGCACCTAGGATTAACCAACCCCCCCTATTAATCAAGCCCAGCTGGAGCCTCCAATAATAGACTAATTTGATCTCTGCAACCTCCCCCTGATAATATTGTTCCTTGCCAGAAACCCCCCTATTAATCAAGCCCAGCTCCCACAGAAAAAAATATAGTTGCGTTCATATTCATTTATTATTTAGTAATTACCTTTTAGTATTCAATCTTTTGGTCCATGGTGAAACTGATCTGTGAAACTGATCTTCCAATCCACCCTTGTCTCATGCCATCTTTTTGAGATATAGCATTCTGATCCACCCTTTTCCCATGCTGATCCTGTCATCCATCAATCATTTCTGATCCTTCTGCTTGTTCTTCTCATCCTTCCCAGCAGCAATCTGTGCAGCCAATGTGTACTCATCTGGGATCTTCCTGCCCAGTCTCTTCCCCTCCTTCCTCATCCAATAGGCAGCGCATTTCCATACATTGCATTCCATACACCCACTGGAATACCTGCACTTGCCACATACCCCAATCCCATCCAACTCAATCTTGGTTTTGGCTTTCAAATAGGCTGATGAGAGCTCATCCACCCTCAAAGCACCACCCTCATTCACCAATTTCCAAGCATCCTCCTGCATCTTGGTCATCTTCTTATTCTCTGCCTTCATCTTCTCAGCCAATGCTGCCATCTTCTCCCTCTCCAACCTCATCTTCTCCCCATTCTTCTTAGCCTTCTCATCCTGCTCCCTCATAGCCGTGATCCTCTTCCCCCTCTCAATCTCCACTTGCTCACCCATCTTCTGCATCTTGGTGATCCAATTCTGGGCAGCAACCCATGGCCGTCCAATCCCTGCTGGGCCATACCCCATGGCCTCAGCAGCCTCCTGCTCCATATAAGCCAATACAAATACACCACATTGGTTGGACCCCTTCTTTTGCCTCACCACCTCATTCACCCTTTGTAGGGGGGCCCTATCCAAGAACTTCTCGTCAATGATACCCAATTGGAGCAATGCAGCCGATGCCAATCCACCACATTCCTTGGATAAATCTGAGCAAATAGCCTCATGACAACCCCTGATATCTTCTCCCATGGTGCCACCAGCTCCTTATGACCATACTCATTGTTGTTCTGATTAAAAAATGAGGGCATAGCTGATAGAGGGATGCATGAATCTCACAGGGTCCAACTCATACAGCTTCTTCTCATTGGCTACCCACCTGATGAGCGCCCATCCCAAAACCAATGTCTGCATGTCCGCCTGCAACATATAGTTTCTGAGAGAACTGCGGGTCCAAGTTTATCCATTGCAAAGATTTTACTCTATAGATCCTGAGGGTCTAAGGTTTACCAAGGAACTTCTCGATTTGCAGGCATTCTGCCTTGGCCATCGTCGTGATGGTGCAGTCTTGGCCCGTCTCCATGCCCCAGCTCATCGATTCATTCCTGGGAAACGGGCCGGTCCATGGGTGCATGTATGCTGGACTATGGCAAACTGCAGCAAACTAAAAGGCTAGGCATTGTAAGTTGCTTATAATATGGTCTATACCTGCCCAAGGGCCATTGATGTAAAGGCTAAACCTTTTTGGATGACAACAAATTAGACAATTTGATCTTGGCTAACTGAGGGGTATCTAACAAGACAACCAATAGCAAATTGCTATGTATACTTGAAGACAAGCTTAGAATCTTGGTCCAACCCTGACCCTCGCTCTTCACCATGGTGCGCTGCCACTGATGGCCTTGGCCTTGCCCATCTGACGATGATCCAGCCCATCCACCTGCGTCGGATGAACCAGTGCCCCATCCACCTGCATTGTATTTTCCCTCTTGACCCTTGTCATGGTCACGCCACCCATGAGAGACAGTGCCCTCCCAATGGGGGGTTCCCTGGCCCCATAGCGACTGCATGTCCCAACTCTTGTCGATGGTGCCCTGCATGTCCCAACTCTTGTCGATGGTGCCATCTGCCTTCCATGACCCCCATGTCTCGTCCGTCCTGCTGTCATCATCATCGACCTTGATCACCCCCGTCCAATCCTTGGATCTCCATTTTGGAGGCGCCTTGACGCGCGTTGCTGCTGGTATCACTGGGGTGGGGGGCTTTGGCGGTTGCCATGCTGGCTCTGGCGGTGGCTTGGGCATCTTCTTTTCTTTTGGCCGGGCTGGGGGTCCCTTCATGGGCTCAGATGGTTTGGAGGCCTTCCCCTTCGTAGGCTGGGGCGGCGTTGAAGGTGGCTTGGGTGGAGGCGTGGAAGGTGGCGGCAGTGGTGGCAGGCATGTTGGGGGTGGCACTGCATCCACTTTAGCTTCACCCACTGCCTCACCCTTTCTGTTCCCACCACCTGGGTTCTCCTTCTTCTCTTCAACAATCTTCTCACCCACCTCCTCTTCATTTTTTCAATCCCTTCAACTCCATTCCCTTCAACTCCCTTCTCCCCTTTGCTGCCCTCCACGGCGCCTGCCGTTTCCACCATGGTCACCATGGTCTGCGCGACCTTGCCCGTTGCCAGGAAGTGCCCCAGGAACTTGCCAGGCACGTAGCCTGTGGCAGGGCTATATGCTCGCCACACCGCATGGCCGGGCAATGCTCGCTATGCGCAAATAAAAGGAGATGTCAAAACCTTCATACCTATAGCAATAGTAGAAAACTACAAAGTACAAGCTTCCGCTTCCTACCGTCCTTATCAGTAAATGGATCAACAAACGAAGCCCTGTGTCTAAAACATGACTCATGCTCATCCCATTCCCATACTTTTGGGTCGCACCTTGCGAAGGCCTAGGCAGCTCGCTTTCGGCATCGTGGTCCGTGTTCGGGACTTTCGGCTCCATGGTCACGGTCATCAGGCAACGGACGATAGCGCGCAGAACCCACACGTGCATCGACAGTGAGTATATCTATACTCTATAGATGTGTGTATAATGGCATTGAGCCAATGAAATGTATTGTCAAATTCATGGAGGGGCGGCCCTCCATTAAATACATTTATAGTGAGTATGCCAAAACGGATAGTGAACCTACAATATAAAGAGAACATGCTGCTGACATCACCGCGTTGGCGTTGCCATCGCGACATTCCGCTGCATCCAGAAAACAGGCGGCAGTTTGTGAGCATGTCCCAAAGGCAGCCATGCACATCATGCGTATACAGTGGTTTCTTTATAAACCTGAACGTTCTGTCAACATGAATGTTCGCAAGTCGCCAAAATCCAAGTCCACCCGGACAGTCCTGTGGGCTCAGCAACCGATGCCGCGTCCCACCACTGAAACTAAATGATATATGCCCTATATATATCCCTATATAAGGGACCAAAAATAACAATTGGCAACATGCTGACTTGACTTTAATACTTTTAGAATAGTACCACAACATACCTTCCTTGTTTGGCCTTAGCAGGTTCAAAACGATGCGACTCAACCTTATCTCAATCCACATAATCCGGGCCCCATGGCATCAAAGGTACTCACAATCACAATTTCCCATTTGGCACACCCAGCCCGAGTCTCACAACCTGCATGCAGGGTCCATGCACCTGGTTCACGCAGATGTAGGTATAGTCATGACCATACCTGACATAGTTGGATGAAAATTGAAACATGAATATGTGGCTGGACGGTTTGCTGAGATGGCTGCTGAACAAAGTGCAATGATGTTCATTCCTGCTCTTTTGTCAAACTTTGTCGCAATGACCTGTGTCCTATGTCACCGCAATGACTTCAAAATTGATGGATCTCAAACCAAACACTTTACAAAAGGAACAAAACCTCAATCTAAGATACTATACTTAATAACTAGATACATATATAGAGAGACCCATGCTATACCTGAACCTGAAGTTGTCACCTATAGCCTCATCTTAAAGATTGTCTGCGCGCATCAAGCCCTCAAAGGGTGTAGGTGGGACGGCCAGAAACGCTGGCAATGATGCTGAGTGATACGGATGCCTGTCTTAAACTTGAAGTACTCCCGCATCAGAAGTTTCAGTTTCATGCTCTTTGGGACCTTCACATCATACAGGGCATCCTGCACTGCTGGAAGCAACATATACGCAAATCCCATATTATTTTTTAGTGTTTGTGCAGGGTGTGGGTCATGCGTTTCTATGTCATGATGTTGCAAGTGGCTAAACCCACAAGCAAACCATGATGATGCAGTTAAACGTACATCCAAATCAGATCGAAAAACAGTCCTTATCATTGAAGGTGTGGTTGGACCTGGAACCAACGAGCTTGATGGGGTTTTGCTTGCTTTTATTCATCTCGTTGGCCACTATGGTCTCCAAATTGTTGACCACCATTGCTGCTCGAAGCGGCTGGTCAGTGGGCCACCAGAAACCACAAATCCGACGGCCACTGAGAGAAAGCAACCGAAAACGCAAATGCTGGCTTGTCAAGCAGTACTCCACGTTGAGAACCTGCAGCGCTTTGAGCGTCACGCAATATGCTCAGTTAAAGCTACTCAGTGACCATGGTGTTTGTCCCCACTTACATTGGATGTTGTTGCATGTTCCGACGTTTTGCATGCAAGAGGCTGTGGGTGCCTTCGGCATGCGCTTCACCACGCACTCACAGTCCCCACGCCGTTCATACAACAGCAGAGACATGTCCTGAACAGCTTCTTTGAGTTTGAAGGGGTATGAAGCCCCCATATTTGTCAGATACAGGACCATATGATCACGTTGATGAATTCTCTCCACTTGTCTCGGTGGAAGGGCATTCCAACCAATATCACCTGGGCCTGGCAGCTGGAGAGTGTCAATGGTGGCTCCCGCGTCAATGATGATGTAGTCATAGACGTATGCGTCAACTGCATTTGCCATGGCTGCAAAACAAATGGGTGAACAACAGGGAATGTTAAACTCTTTGAGTTTGAGGGCTCGGCAAACTGCGACACGCAGTTCGAGACAGCGAGCACAGCCCTGCGCGTCTGACTGGAAACTAACAATGAAACTTGCAAGCCTGACCGTGTAAAAATTTGTTATAAGCAGAGTAAACAGCATAGTTCTTTTTGGGCAGCAGCTTTCGCACTCAAATCAAAATTGTTTATAGCCAAGAGGATCTGTCATAGCGCCCACCAAAAAGTGAAATAGCATCACCATCATTGCCAATCTTGTGGAAACAAGCATAACAAAAACAAGGACTATGGTAAATGATGGCTAGGACGTCCTAGCTTTCTTCTTGGCTGCCGCAACAAGTTCCAATGGTTTCGGCGGATTTACGTTCTTTGGCCTAAACAGAACCAGCTCATCTCCAGAATCCACAGCATGCGTGTTGATGGCAATCGGGATCTTGGTTTTGTATGTGATCTCCATGTTCGATTCCTCACTGTCACTAGTGATCCTAAGGTTCCAAAACGGCGCCACACACCCTGATGCTGGCAGCAGGAAGATCTTGCACTTCTGCCTGGGCATCAGCAACCCCAAGACATGACATGACGCCTTGAGATGATTGAGGAACACGTTATATAGCACATGGCATTGACACAAAATGAATTTCACCAAGCCACCCATCAACCTTGTTTTCGCACATGAGAATTGAACCCGTTGGCGGCGGCTTCTTGTCAGCAACGAGCTGCAACTCAAGCCGGTTGGTCAAGGGTGCCAAGCAAAGCTTTCCCTTTGCCGACGCTGCAGCACTGAAAACACCCTTCAGCTTGGAGTACATCTCAAGCTTCGCATGAGAACCCTGCAACTTCGTGCCTTCTTCCAGAAGCCTGACTGTCATTTCGGCTTTGACCTGGGCAATGGCCATCTCCAAGAGCCACTTCTCAGGATCCGCCACTGGGACCTTGGGCTTCTTCTCTGCAACCTTTTTCCACTCTGGTCCATTCAGCAAGTCATCTGCGGTCACCTTGTACACATGACCGTCATCTGCTTGCAACTCTACATGCAGCGGATGCATGGCAATGATTGTTCCTTGCTGCTCGTCTGCTGCACGATAGATCACGTCGCCGAGGTGGAACTTTTCCTCCATCTTGGCAGTCCCCTTGAGCTTGCCAGCTTCGTCGAAGTCGCGGCTCCTGTAATCAATCTAAACAACCAGTAAACGTGGCAGCTGCCATCATCGTGGCTCAAATTTCCAATTTATGTCCTGAGGTCCGCTTTGGCGGCCGAGGGCCCCGCCGGTGATTTTGGCTTCGGCAGCGCCCAGGGAGACGGAACCCTGACTTGTGACAAGCCTTGCCAATACTCATGGCATTGAACCGCAGCATCTTCTAAAGTCTCAACTTTCAAGAAGAGGGCATGAGGTTCCTTCGGCTTCTTGCCTACGATCAGCACCACAGCTTTCACTTCAAAGACGCCATGGCCTTGCAACAGCTGGTACGAGGTCAAGTCCGTGAACTTTGCACCATGAGCCTTCAGCTTGACCAGCATGTCCTCGAACGACAAGACCTTGCTGAGAACATCTTTGGAAATTAAGCTTTTGCGGAGGTCACTGACGGAAAACAACTTCTCCTGGTGGCACAACAATGCCTTCAAAAACGCTTGCCGCCAGAGGATGAGTTGCTCTTGGTCGCGGTGCTTCACTTCCATTGAAAGGCAATCCCACATGTCAATGCCCAACGATCTGCCAGAGGCGCCATTTGTTCTCACAAAGCTTTCGGTGAGCTCCATCATGTCTCCAGCGCAGCCAAACCGCATGATAAACTTCATCAGATACGGTACAACGCCCGGGTTGGGTGGCTGCGACCTCAAAATGATGGGGGCGATGTCATCATATTTCGGGATTGAACCATCGCTCCGAATGAAGGCCTTCACACGCTTGCAAAGCTGAAGCTCTGTCTCCTGCTGGCAAACTTGAGCAATTGAGTTCTGAGCAGATTGCGCTAGAGAAACGAAACTCGGAAAGCACTGGGCAATCTCAGCAGACACGACTTCCCACTGAAGCCCTTTCTCCACCGCTGCGGCGTAGACAGGGTCGTGTACACGTAGCTGATCAACGCTGAGACGGTTCTGCCCGTGCTTGCAGCTGTAGTGCCACAAGCGAAGGACCATGTTGCTGTGGCTTCCGCTGATCGAGGCATACCTCAAGACGTCATTGACAGGCGGCAGCCTGAGCTATGCAAATCTAAAGAAGAACCTACGCAACTCTGAAAAGAACCCATGCTAAGGTGATGGTTTCGGCGGAGCTCTTTGTAGAAACTAAACAATATCACAAGCGCATGCATGGAACAGATCCTTGGATGAAGCTGCCAGCTGTTTGTTGAAATCTCGAGTGACCTCACCTTCAGGTCCAGTGGGGATCTCAACAGCAATGTATCTTCCAGCGGAAGGCACAAATCCCAGGTTGTGGAAGCGGTCCACAAGTGCATGGCAGTGCTCAGGGTCGATGCCCCATCCGTCGCGGTTGCCTTGATGCACTCCGATCAGCTTGCTATGTCCATGTAAGTGGTACATGTAGCCATGTTCCTTGAGTAAAGAGTAGGCAACTTCCATGGAACTCAAAAGCCCCTTCTGAGTCGCACCATCCAAGACTGCAGTCAGCTTGGCCTTGAACGCAGAGTCCATGGCTCTATATAACGAAGCGAAGTGACCGAAAGCTTGTTCTTACCTGCATCCACCTACACATATATATGCTTTACAAAATGTTCAAATATAATTTCAACCTGTCCGAGACATAGCTATGCGAAGCTGATCCTGCGAGCCATGCCCGCAAAGGACGTCCGGCGAGCAGAGCCACGCCGGCAAAGTGAAATGGCCAAAGCTCACATGTATAGTTCAAATCAAAACAAGTTTATAAAAGCATGATCTTGAAGGATAGATCAAACTCGGAAGTGTCTGATGCACCTCGGTGATGGTCTCCTCCATGCATGGTCATGGCTGGCCTGGGCGGCGCCGAAAAGGAATACAAAAAGCCATTGCATCGCATTTTCCACATCAGCCGAGAACACAGAGCAAAAACTAAACTTGACTTCACCCATGGAACAAACAGGTTTCGCAAGCAGTTCACAGTGAAACCTGTCTTTCATGTTCAAGCAATCAAATAGAAACAATTTGCACAATGCAAACAATTTGTTTCATAACGTCTCTAAAGAGCAACTGCCTGTGTTTATTAAAATGATGTGGACAGCAAGCCTTCTCATTCCAACTGATTCTTCTAAGGCCTGAAATCAAAACAGCATCAAACAGCATCAGCCAGCAAAACAGCCTGGGCAACCGCACCAAAATCGTAAAGGAGCGTCGAACCAAAAATGCGCGAATGAAACAATCAAACGATTTCACTTGCAAACGTACGACTATACCGTCGAGAAAAACGCTTCATGCCATGTCCCTCTTCACAACGAAAGAAAAAATATTCACGCAGCATGGACCATGCGTGCATGCACGGCAACCTCAATTGATCCAACAACCCGAACATCAAATAAGATGCCCAAAGGTGAAATTGTGGACGATTGTTTTTCGATACTCGAAGCTCGAAAGAAAGAAAAAACATTGAACAAATCAAAGCTCTAAGCCACGCAGTTCGGCACATGCCTGTGAAAATCAAGGTCAACATATCACAAATAGAACTTGCAAGGCCCAAACTGGCAAGGTTGTGTATGTTGCTTTAGCTCCATGAGTCTCTTCTTATAAGTGGGCTAAGTGAGTTAAACCATTTGCGATAAGTGGACTTAGTCTAACTTAAACTAAGTGGCCTAAGTGCATTTATGGGACTTACACATAAGTATCCTAACCAACTTAGCCAACTTAGCCGTAAGTGCCTTAAGTTCAGTATTTGACTTAGCTAATTGCCCTCATAAGTATACTAAATGGGTGTTCCACTTACTATGTGTTTACATCACATACTAACCTTTTAGCAAAAACGCTAAGTAGTTAGTAAGTGACATAAACATGCGCTTCTAACTTATTACAAATAACACACTTATAACTTAAGTTAAGGAAGTTGTATTTTGAGTTAACATGCTTATAAGTGCACACGTAAGTGATATACACATGCTAGATACTTACTAACCAGGCTGACCCTCCAAGTACCCTGGTCTCTCCCCTCACCGCGGCCGCGCGTCCCCGCGGCCGCCCAGGAGCCGCCCTTGCCACTGCCCGCCGGGCGAAGGAAAGTGCCTATCCCGACGAGCTCACCCGCGCCACCCGCTGCCGGCTCGTTGTCATCGGACTTGAGGTCGGGAAACGATGGAGCTCTGAGGCAGCCACCTTCGTCCGCCTTCTGGCGCAGGCCAAGGCGCGCTCCCACCCGCCGCCTCCCGGCCCTTCGTTGTGGCGGCCTGGGGAAGGCGTTAGTGCGGGCTCCTCGCCTTCGCGGCCCAGCGCGCCTTCTTGGCTTCACTCCTGACCCTCCCTGCTGGGCCCGGGGCGAACGTCGACGGCGAGGCTCCACTCCTCAGCGACCTTGTCGTCCCCCCTGGCCAACCATAGATACACCAATGATCTGATGCTGCTGGGTGATCACCATCATGCCCCAAACTCATAAAGAATCTCCTCTTCATCCCATCATTCTTGTCCACAAACACATACATATAGTCATGCTGTGACAATCCCAGCATACCCTCAATGATCACCCAGACATTGCCCAGCAAATGGTTTCTCATGATACCACCCAAGCTCAAAAGCTCATTGGTCATCTCCTCTGCTGAGTGCACCATGGCTACTAAACCAATAGTTTGGGCCCAGATATGCTCCATCAAGAGTAATTATGCACAATGAGTACCAACCCATGGTGCACTCAGCAGGTTCCCAAACTCATGTCCACCATGCATTCCACCACTCATTGCCCAGCTATTAAGGGGTGAATACATCCCACAAACACCATGCTAGCTGCTTCACCCACCCAATTCCCCAACCCATCAACAATGGCACCAATTTTATCAAGCCAATGCCTCATCAGCTCACCATCTGCGATTCCATACTGGAATGCCCATACTATGTACTCATCTCTAATCTTCTGATCCCTCTCCCATTGGGAATCATATGCCATAAGGTCATACCAATCCTCCACAGTCCGCCAAGAAGACCATCCAGTCCATGGATCCACTCTCACCACAAATAGCCTCCACCTCCCATTCCTCATCCTCCATGCTCCGACATGCAATGATCCAATTGGCATGGCTCTCTGATCAATCCTATTTGATCTCTGATCAAGCTTGTGCCCATACACTCAGACCCTTCATGGTTCTCATGGTTCAAACCCGATTGGTGGGCCCCCACCAGGCCGGCGCTGAAGCTTTGGTCCACGGCCTCCAACTCACAACCGAACCAGGCCCCCCAACTCACCTCCTTTCATTGGACTGCGGCATATGACCATATCAGCAGAGCGGCCATGATCACACCGGAAGCACATGCCATTACACCTTTCGCCCGAATCTTTTATAATGTTCCCCGGCGTGTTCGCCGCAAGTTCGTTGTGAAAAGGACTGGGCTGGCAGGGTGGCAGTGTAGGATGGCTGGGTCGATCGGGGCGTTGCGGTTTGGCGTCTGGGTTGGTGAGATGTTGCAACGCGCTGCCGTTCCCAAGGGCCAGTGGTTCCCACAGCAAAGCTTGGCTTGCCCGGGGTAACTCATCCACCCCCGTGAGATGGATGGTTCGCTTTGCGCGATTTTCGGTATAGCTGGGGGCATGCGGGCTGGGGGAATTGGCTGGGTGGGGTCTTGGCAAGCAACGGATGGCCCCACTCGCCACCGAAGAAGGAGCTGTATGTAGTGTTCCCTTCGGTTTGTGAAGAAGAAGGCGGGACAAGTACAACCACAATTTCCCGGCGTTGATGTGTTGGTCTGCATTGCCTGCGTGTGTTATGTTGATTTGACCGCAGGCAAAGTAGAGTGCTCTCCATCATGGCCCCCCAAAAAAATCCTCCCCTGGGAAGTGGTCGTGAGTTGCGAAGGCGCTCCAAAGGAGGCTGATGATTTTTTTTTCCCTCCTTTTTGGCCAGCATGCCTCGTTCAGCTTCACCAAACAGACTTTGTGTTCGGGAGCTCCAGACTGTTTTTATACTGGCCAGTCTCCAGATGTGCACGAGCGGATGCCAAGCTCACAGGCTAGGGGGGCAGGCGGGAAGCCAAGGGGGGCGTGGAAGTCAAGTCCAGCAAGTCGCTGAGGAGGGAGGCTTCCCCATCCAGAGCATCGGTCGAACCGGGGTCCTCGAAAAGGAGACTGCGGGCGAAGGCTGTTTGAGCCGCGTGGGTGAGCAGGCCCGACCAACGAGCAATGTATGCCTGGGCTGTTGCTTGCCTCAAGGGTGCAGGTACTCCACGGCTGCGGGCTTGGGCCACGGACCTGATGAAGGTCGCCGCCTCCCCGCTCCATCGGCCCCCCACTTCCATTGCCACCACAACTAGACGGCACCGCCCCCCACGAAGGAGTTCCGGGTAAGTCCGTTCCTTTGCTCGCCGTGCATCTGCCAATGCTGCCCCGGTGAAGTACCCCCGCCGTTGCCGAGGGTGGCCTGTGCGAGTAAGGGGGGAGACCAATGTGGTGTCCACTGCCAATTGGGCTCCTTGATGCAAGGGCAGTTCATTGGCTATGACTTCGATGCGTCTGTTGTCCAAACGCTGAACTGCGGGGACGTTCAAGTCGGACAGGAATGTGTGCGTTGTTACCCGGGCCCCGGCCGCTCTGCATACCCGAGCCGCTGCCCGTTCCAATGCCCCCCCACGGCTCCGTAAGACCCCTGATTGAGCACACGCTGCGCGATGGTCGCCAAGCAAGTCCAAAGTGCGACGGCATCGGCAGGTGCGGGCTGCCAAGGGAAGAGGGAGACGAAAACGGCGAAGCAACAAGATGCGGAAGAGATGCGAGGGGTATGTGAACTCTGGGCTGATGGGGATTGTTGTGAAGGTGCGACTGGAACGTCGTCCTGACTGGGAGATCAACAAGGCTGATGATTGCTGGTGTTGGGTACGGAGTTGGGAGGGTTGTGCGCTGGTGTCGTTGCGTCCGAAATGGTGCTGGTTCTGGTGCGGTTGCCGGCGGTCGCCGCGTCGTCGCTGGAAGCGTCGTTGCTATCGCCGGGGGCCGGGGTGGTGGCCGCTTGGGCTGCGAGCCTTTCAAGTTGCTGTAGCATTTTCAAGGTGTGGTGAAGTTGTTGCCACGGGACTGGCACCGGCATATGCCTTGTTTTACGTGGACGATATATTCTGCTGGCAGCAACCCCTTATTTTTGTCTAAAAAAACCGAGCATGTTGAGGAAACCTGCAAGCATGACATGCAATGAAGTTTTGGCAGCCAAGTAAACCGTGCTGTTTGAACTGAGTTTCTGAAGGGCGACGGCGACGCTTGCGATTGATCGTGACAACCGTGTCAGGTCCCACCAAACTCTGTGCAGCCAAGAAAGCCTCATGCTCTAACAGTTTCCCAGTCCAGAAAAACAACAAAAAATCAGCCAGAGTTTGAATGTTAGGTAGCAAGCATGAGCGCGACCGCCCTGGTTTTGACCCAAGCGCTACAGCGGAGTAAGGTAGTTTTCAACTAGCAAACTGTGCACTTCTCTGTACATCTAGTTACACAGCAAAAGCTAACACCCCGCCTAAAATCAAAAGCGGAATGAGCTTTGGATTTT